CCCCCTCCCCACATCTCCGAGTGGTCCAGCCAGCAGCTCCTCTGCAGACTATGTGGCGTAGCGTTTGGTCCACTGTTTGGCTATCCTGTCGTGTTCAGGTCTGTTTGTTGTGTACTGTGTGGCGATGCTTCCAACCAGAGGGTCAGCTGTGAACGGATGAACAGAATATAACACATCTATGTTCTATCCACAATAACAGCTGTTTGTGCAGGAAAAATAGCTAAAAACTAGGGCTGCCCACCTCTTCGTCAATTAGTCGACTAATCGGCCATTTTGGTCTTAGTCGACGAAGATGTATGTATTTGCAACCAAAAATTACTTTTGACTTCATGTTATGCATTTATTATTTTATTACTTTTAGGAATAGTACCCTGTATTTAAATGGATGCTTTTTTCAGATATTTTTGCCTTGCTTGTATTCTCAAAGCTGTTACACTTTCAAATGTTAATTTAATTTTGAATATAAAAAGATTAAATATTGGCACAAAACAACAGTCGTCAGCTGATTTTGTAAGTCCAACAAAGCTTGTGTGTGTGTGTGTGTGTGTGTTGCAGCTCTCACCCGGGTTGCAGTCAGTGAGCAGGGAGCAGATGGACAGGAGGACCTTGGAGATGGTGAGGGCGGGACTCCAGTTGTCCTTCAGGATGTCCAGACAGATCACCCCCTGACTGTTGATGTTGCAGTGGTAGATCCTCGTACGGAACGTCACCTGGACACGGACCAAGGAGAAAACACGAGTCTGTATTCCGCAGCTTTGTACACTTTGTGACACACAGAACCATATTATGAAGGTTCACTCCAGACCTCATCTGAATAGTCTAATTTAACTCCAAGCCCACTGAGCAGACGTTGTGACAGATCCTCCTCAAAAGAGGGAGAATGATCCGATACAATAGAGAGGCCTGAGGAATTCAGATTAGAAACAGGAGCCGATGATTTCATTCAGCGGCACTGCAAAGCACAACGGTGCCCTCTAGTGGGAAACATGAGAATGACACCTCTTTCAACACAGAGCCAACTGTGCCATGGGTTTACAGACAAGAAAAGGCAACAACCATTCGCAGTTCACCTTGGGTGGTTTGAAGGGGTAGTCTGGTGTGAAGGCGATGTCCAGGAAGAACACCCCCCCCTCGTACGCGGAGCCCGGAGGGCCCAGGATGGTCGACCTCCACTCATAGATGTTGTCTCCTTTGGGGCCGGCACTGTCGGCACACACACACAACATTTATTCTTGATGGAACAGTACGCTGGTGATGCGATTGTGGGGCTGCGAGTCTAGTTGCTGCATTTGTTCAACAGAAGCGACTCCACTGAGCTCTCCAGCACAGCTGTTTTTAAGTCTCAAGTTGTAGAGAAAAGACTTGCAAGTCAAAAAAAAGCTGAACCATCAATGCTTTAGTCTGAAAGTAAGAGCGCAATGGCCAAAAATCAAACCACTGTACTGTACAAGACATTTAACACACAAGTGATGAATCAAAGCATCTGTATGTCAAATGATATTATGCATGTTGAATGAGAACTATAGGTTCAGCTCAGTAGGTGATCATTAAATTGTGTTATTTTGAAAAGGACTAAAGAGAGTCTAAATGTCAATTGTTCCAAAACCCCCGAGAATTTCCCCCACTGCCTCCACTTTAGGATCACGGTTTCAAACATATAGCCTTCACCTGAGGAGTATACGTTTAACCTTTCACTGTTTATCTTCCATGTTCCACTGTTGCACTCAACATCTGCAAAATGACTAAATAATTACCATCTTTCTAACGTTCTGCAGTCAGGACTCTATTCCAATCTATGATGTCTTATTGGTAATTCATTAAAACAATAAAGTGCCCATATGAGTCATTATGCCAACACAGTGGGAAGTGATAAAAAAACAAGAAAAGATCAACACGCCTTCACTTCTCTGTGGAGACGACGCTGAGGCGTGGAAGGGCTGACGACTACAGCCGCTTCACCAGAGCCTTGATTCAACAGCAGCGTCTGTGAGCGTTTTTAAATGGCGGAGATACTTTCACATAATTGACTGCTTGATGAAGCGCTCCGAACCCCACTTTCATTTTGAAATGATAAGCCGGCCTTCTTAAAAGCTCGTTTGTTGGATGCAAATGAAAGACTCCTTTTTGTGGGAAAATGGTACAGGCAAAACACAGCGTACAGCAACGGGAAATAGAAATAAGAGGAACGTTTGGAACAAACAAACACAAAACACAGCAATTATCCAGAATAATAAATTATCAGCAGCCTCTGTGTGCGACAGAGGAGCTAAATGTCAGGCAATAATGTTCTGAAACAGACACTCCACGACTGAGAGGGAGAGCCGAGACAAATCCACAAGAGGAGGAAAACGTACAGACGCACAGTCGGTAATCTAAACCTTCATAAACCAGTCCGGGCTTCAGGCCGCCGACTCGCTGTTTTTACGGTCTTTAAAACTGCTCTTATAGCTTTGCAGCGCTGGTAAACGTCAGAAAACCCCTCGTTACTGTCATATGAACTTCAGCAGTAAACAAGAGACCACAACAGCTCAGATTAATAAAGCTGGCTCTGTCACGAACACTCACCTTCATGGCGTCTTGTTAGAGACCAAGTGATCAAGGCCACATCTCTCACTCTACCGTCTCCAGCTGACACAAAGACAACCTACATCTATAAATCAATCACAGCAAATATCGAAATAAAACCCATTCTGTTGAAGTGTGTTTCTATGCTAACAACCACTATAGATGACAATAAAAAAAGTAAAGCACAACATGTAAAATATGACTTCGGGACAGTCTAAATTATTATTATTTTTTTGTATTTGAAAGCAGCTACAGGAGGCCCAGTAGAGAAGCTAAATTATTGCTTTATAAAAGTGTTTTTTTTTTGTTGGTGAATTTTTTTCCAGAATAGGAAACTACACAACACACAATATCATTTGGGTTTTCTAGCTCTATATTTAGTCAATATCAATTCATAAAAGACAATCTTTTTCATTTTCACACGCACTTTAAACACTTCGTTTTGATTGCCTCTCATACTGTGATCACACATTTCATATTTTCTTCATATAATACTGCTTTAGTCCAGCATGCTGTTATAAACTACACTACATAGCTCCAACACTCCATGCAAACACTGTGCAGAGTGATACTTATCGGCTAATAAAACAATAAAAAAAGGGAGGAATTCAAAACATATCATTATCATAAAAGGAGCACTTGGAGAACACCGTAAGCTAAATACCAGTTTTCTGCCAACAGACTACTTTATTTGTTGTCACAGGAAGTGAACTTAGTGGTTGAAGATGGACTGTGCGCACCGCTCAGCTTCATGTTGACCCCCAGTTTGTGAACCACTGAAATATATGAAGATAATTCATGGAGAATATAAATGTATTTCCAGGTCACATAATGCAAAACACTAAAAAAGGTCAGTCTTACTACACTGGACGTACTGTGTGTGTGTGTGTGTGTGTTGGCATGAAGCCAATGGTCTACCCGGGACATTACCATTGACCAATGGGACAGTCTTCTATTTCTATTAGTGCTCACACAATATCAGAATATTCAAATTCTGTATAAAAACCACGAGGGATATCCAAATGTGCAGCACCAGCTTGGTATAAAACATACCACGTGTACCACACGTTTCATTTAAATGGTGTTACCAGCGTTCCAGTAAGGGAGCCCTGCTAATATACCGGTCGCACCACAAGACCTCAAGTCCAGACCCGCTGCTGTGCCAAGAACAGATATTGTATCATTTCCCTCTGAATCAACCCGACAGGTTTCTTTTCGCCTGACAACAACAAGAGGCCTCTCACACTCGCAGGCGAGCCACAGAGAGCGGCCGGGCTTCCTCCGTCGCACACAAAGGCGTCCCAGTTCTTTGTGTGCGGCTGTAATAAGCCATACTATCACTGTTGTCATTCACTTCAATATCGGGGGGGGTGGAGGCTTCTTCTGCCACCTCTGTGTACACGCGCACTGCAAGAAGAGTGCTGACATTTCAGCTGATTCATTCTTTTCAAAGACTTTAACCTTTCAAACAGGCACACAGCGAGTTTCCCCCCAAAAAAACCGACTCCTGCAGCAGAAGAACAGAAGATGAATATGTTCAGTAAGCCGACAGAACGCACGAGGGTTAAAATAAATGTAGATTTTTCTCACAAGCAATATCAACGTTTCTAGTGCGCTAAGCTAATTTATGGTTTTAATTTTGTATTTTGTATGTTAGACGGTTAGAGAAGCTACGCCCGAGCGGCGTGGCTCGGCTGCATCTAGAGATTTGCTGGTCACAGCAAAAAAAATAGAGCGTGAACAATGATCTTTTGACAGTGTAGACATCGTACCAGCAACATTATCACAGTTTTGTATCTGTAGAACATGTCTCACACATGAAAAACAGTTCATATCTATCTTGAACTCACAAACACTCCCCGTTTCCATTTCAAAATAAAAGCCCTCCGGAGTTTTTCTGTGGACAGAATCCGGTGAGTGTTAAACACAAGGATATTTGCAGAACAGTGTTACAAAAATGAATAGAGCATCTTTTATGTGTGGTAGTAATAGCAGAAAGTAAAGGAAGATTTGATTGCACTAATCAAATTAAAGTACTGTATCCTAATTTACACCCAGCAAAGAACACCTGTGTCGGGGGTTGTTACCGCTGCAGACAAATAAACATATTTTATATTTCTTTGTACTTATTACAGTTTTGATCAAATAAGTACATAAGCCAAAACAAACACCAAGGGGATATACTATATATTGCTTTCTTAACTAAATTGATTTGACTTTCAGTGTAAAAGCCTCTGAAATCCTGGTGAATCTATTCTCTCGGTATTCCTCCTTCTGTACTGAGCTCTTGTAATTGCTCCTTTCGCTTAAATTAATCTCTTTGTATTGTTTAACGAGGCCTTTTACTCACAAACCAAAGCGACGTGAGTCTCATCTCTTCAGCGCAGCCCTTAATATACACACTGGGCTTCGTTTTCAATCACCGCTATCTGCTCGTATTGTGTTGTGATGACAGAGAGAAACACTGTAATAAGCTGCCCGACTGAGACAATATAATGACTCCACTTCACAAAGAGTGCAGAGGAGACTCCAAGCGACGGCACCCGACACCCACCCCGCCAATTTAATACAATGGCAATCAGCCTGCAAATGTTCCTTCAGAGCTTTATGAGGACAGTGCAGGATGAATATCATACGCTGGCGTTTGTATTCCTCCAAACAAAAAGAGTCAGATTCCAGTCTGATGCACTCTGTCTTAAAGAAAGATTAGACTTATAATTAAACGGATGACATCCATATCATGACATTAGTAAGAAACTCCTTCCAATAGGAATAAATACAGGGGCACAGAATGCCATTTATCAAATATTATATTTACAACAATTACACGTGTTACACATCACAGCAGGCACATCTTCACACACGTAAAACAAAAAGTTCACTTAAAGATGAATGTTTAAAGTTGGATGCGCATCAGATAATGCAACTTTCTTCGATGTCTTTAAGGAGTTTGTTTTTGTGCAAAAACCTGGTCAAGTTATATTGCCGTAAGTTCATTTTCAGTTCAATAAGAAATGTCTTTGAAAGACTCGAGATTGACATGTAAGCAACACAAATAATCACAAAAAAGTTAGATTAAAATGATATACACCACTTCTCCCGACATGGCAAACCATCTAGCAGAATACTTTGTTACTAAAGTTAATATGTTAAGTTCTATGAAGACTATTGTTCAGTCTGATGATGATAATATTGTGAAGGGTAGACCCTGCTAAAGAGTTCATTTGTTGGAAGCACTGGCTGTGACTTTGTATGCAACAAACTACTTTAATTAGCCGTTTAGCAAATAGCAAAACTCCAAGACTTAGAAGCATGCTAAACTTTGTCACATTCCTAAAGATAATAAGCAACCCTTTAAGCATTCCCCAGGCAATTGGTAAGCTGGTGGAAACAATACCGAGTAAGCAAATCCAGCATTACATGGAGAATAATGATTTTACTCATCAACACAAAATGAGACATTCTACCGCTACGGCTAGTGTCTAGGACAGGCGAACACGGGTAATATAGTTCAGGCTTCATTCATTCATTTAGAGAGAAATGTCATACATTATGGTTTCCAAGAAATGGCACTAAACTGGGAATGCAGTCAGCGTTCATGAATGGGGGATTTTCCTTTTCACATCTTGTAAAGTGTGGTGTACCGCAAGGCAGCTGCCTTGGTCCACTTCTATACTTCATCTATAAAAATGACTTCCATACATACAATAAGTCCAGCACTACAGTATGATGACACAAATGGACCAACTGAATATTAATCATTGGGTCTGTAGCAACACAAAATTAGAGCTCTGTCATTTGATACTCGTACTACCTGTAGCTGACAAACCTGAAATGAAACATCCACTTCCTCTTGCTGCCCAACTACGGCCCGGCACGCAGAGGGGAAACTCCCCGGAACAGCGACTTTGTGAAGTAACAACGGTTTGTACGGACCAGACACTTCCTCTCCGGGGAGGAGGCTTTTTATAGATATGAAGAAGCTGCTGGGGAAAAACCTCAGCAATCTCAAACATGAAGCCGACTGCACACTGCGGAGGTGTGTGTATGAAGAAAAAACGCTGCTAACATCAGCGGCTGTACCGGGAGGGGATCACATGCAGGCCTGTCAGACTCTCGGAAAGCTAACAAAATAAGTGACTTTCACATGGTTCCAGCTAGAAAAAAAACATATCAATAAACAGTCTTTAAACATCATAACTGTCTACCCCTACTTAGTGATAATGGCCGTACTGTAGACAGCTTATAACTTTCCTTAGCTGTCATGAGCCCCGAACCGGAATGTCAGGAATCCGCCTCGACACCCGAGGGCAAGATCTGAAGAGAAATGGCGAAGTGCAGCGGGAGAGGACACAAGGTGGAGTGAAAGATAGAGAGAATTAAGTGTCAGGAAGAGAGCAATAAATAGAGTAGCTGGTCGACGGGAAAAAAGGAATAAAACATGGTGAATGAAAGCAACACGGGGCAGGAGGGAGGGAGGGCGGGAGGCCTGTGATGTCTGCAGTTCACACTTCAGCGGCAACGAGGGAGCAAAAAAAAGAAGAAGAAGAGGTCCCGCACGGCATTCCCCGTGTGGAGTATAATTAGATTTTGATGAATGACAGATGAAAGCCTCGGCCTCATAGCGCTTATAAAACAAAGTTTGCTACGAGCGGGGCGCTGGAGATAGACACTAGTCAGGATAAGTCTTTTCTTCATCCGTCAGTGTCCCTTCTTTAAGAGCGAGGAGGCCCGAAACAACCCTCCCAGAGAAATGAGACGTCAACCGACTGACTCATCGATGTGTAATCCATTAAACGGCATCTGCAAGGCGTAGCTGTCCGGCTCCATTCACACACTTAATGAGTAGATTCTCTGCCAAATGAAGCAGAAAGAAGCAAAAATCCACTAAAAATAAAAATCCCCTTTCTGCACATGGTGCTGAATAGAGTGTTTGTTCTACCGAGTGGAACAGAAACAAAATGAAGAAATGAGGCTTTTCTCCACGCTGCGGGTGAGATGGAGAGATGAAGCACTCATCACGCATGTTTGAGGTCATTTATCTCAACTCTGAAGCTTTTCCTTCTTTGGAAGATTTACTGATGGAATAAGACGTTTCTCTTATTAGTCAAGAAATGGGATGAAAAGACCAAAACCAACATGTTAATACTTCACGACCCAGTCTGCTGCACTCGGCCTCGAGCCCATTGGTTCATAGAAATATGCAGTTTCACTTTTTTTTTTTAAGGATCAGCAATTTCCTGAAATAGCTGGGCATAAGTTACTTAAAAAGAAGGAGTTAGTGCATTTGTTGGGAACTACTTTCAGCTGCGGCTTCAACCAAAATATGTTCAAGACTCAAGTTTTGACCTGGCAAAATGTCCAGGACAATGACAAAGATGGTGACAGGCTGGCCACACACCTTGGATATGTAATTGTTAATGTGTGGCTAAGCATCTGTTATATAAGAAAAACAAATATTGACATCGTTTAACATCCATTGGCAAAGGTTGTGGACAGTACCTGGTACCTCATACTGTTTTGGTCGAGAGTTCCAAGCGAGCTGAGCCAATAAATACATAAAGGGGCAGTTAAGACACTGATTGGTCACAAGTGTGACACGGGACACCTTGCACATATCGCCATTTTTAAATAGCAACCGCAATTCCTTTTTTTAATTCGCTCGACCCAAATGTTTCTTTAATGGCTGCCTGCAAAACCACGCCATTGCAGGCGGAGAAAAGGAGCCGGTACCAAAAGAGCGTTGCGTCGAGTCGTACCGCGATATGGAAACGAGGCTTAAGTTACTTCACACCCGTCGAAACAAGTCGTTTTGACCATCAGCCGACTTGAAACTTGCCTTGCCCAGAAATACCTAAACAGCTCCAGTGTCTGGTATTCCCATCACTTATTCCCATCACAACTGGTGAAGATATCATTTAATTCCATCGTAAAATACGGTTAAAATGGTTCTGTTATTTGAATCTGTGCCGCTTGTGACAGACTCGGTTTGATCTAATCTACAGTCAAAACAACATCTTTGTCTGTGGTGCAGCAACTTTTAATCTGAGTGAGAATATAAAGTCAGACTGTTTGTAAAAAAAGAAAAGAGCACCGCAAAGGTGAATAGTTGTTCTGTTTCTTTGTTGTACCGGGCTCAAAATTCTCTGGATATTCTCCGTCTTCCTTGAAGTAAACACAACATCTCTTGTCAACAATCCTGCATTCATCAAATCTCTTTTCTCACCGAGCGATCAGAGCTTCCAGCCGGCCCCAGCGTTTCGGAGTTAATCCATGGGGGGGCTCGGGGGGGCACATTCTCCTCTGAGAGGAGATTCATGACACACACACACACACACACTGAGGAGCGTGGAACCAAACCCAGAGCTCCTCTATGGCCGCGGCTTCGTCCTCTAAATGCTCGTTTTGGATCTCGGTTGCTCAACCTGTGGTTATGAGCTCGCCGTTACGCAATCAGTCAACCAACAACAGACCCGTCGTCACCTCGAGATAATAAGATAATAATAAGATCAATGACAATACATTTATAGAATAGATTGACCTCAGCTGATCGCAGCAGAAAGACATGACACACTGTCTGTCTTTTTCAAATATCAAAAGTTATACTGGGCGGTCTGTCTTCTCAGACAAAACTTAAAAAGTACAAACTCCAGCGTACCGACACATTAACCAAAGAACAGCCAGGAGTTTGTTGTTGTTTTGGCCAACTCACAAAATCAACCCCCATTTAGCTACTGCTCAGTAAATGTACAGTCAGCAAAAAGCAATAATCACCGACTGAACAATTCACCTCCAACAGGTTGTTAAGATATGCGGTTATTGTGACTTTCTATGATACCCTCATTTAAGAAGCATGAACATGGGTTTTCTACAAATCTCCTTTTTTTAATTGAAGAAAAGAAGCCAAATATCTGAAATATGAAATGTAAGTAAGTATCTGTACCAGAGCTTTGCATTAATCGACTAAATTCGGCCACATTTTGATTGAAATCAGGAAGTAAAGCAAACATTACATGCCAGCGTTCAGTAGTTTTCAATACTTATTTCAGACAGTAACAGTAAAGTATTCAGGTTTAAACCTCGAGCCCTAATAATAATAATAATAATAATAATAATAATAATAATAATAACAACATTCCAGTGAAATGGGAAAAGAGCAATGAACAACAAAGAGACTTAACTTTCTATAGAAAGGTAAGGAATGGTGAACCTCTTGCTCATCTACTGAATAAGTCCTGACCCGTTTGGTCTTTTGATCGACGATGAGCGTTATGCTTCACGTGAAAATAACATTAAATAACACGAGTAACATGTAATGATGTCTACATGTTATTCCTTCATATAGCGTATAGATTTTAAAAGTTAAAGTAAAAAGAAAAGAGTAATTTTCTCTGCATGCGAGATGGCAAAGTGAAAACGATTTTCCAACCCGACACCAACATGAAGAACTACTTGCATTCATTTCTCATAACACATTTAATGTCCTCTTTAAAAAGACCTGCACTGAGAGAAGACACACACACACACACACACACACACACACACACACACACACACTGTTCCTCATGGCACATTCATTCTCCATTAAAATCATTCACTCACCTGCAGTTTGGTGGTGGGTCCAATGTAATGTCAGCCAGTTCCTTCTGAATTCTGCAAAACAAAAAAAGCATCAAATACACGCATCAAAAGATAAACTCTGAGCAAATACTTTAAATCCAAAAGTGACACGCCTGGATGGAAGACAGAGGAGGCCCGACGGACACCAGTGAAGGCTGCTTGGCAGCACATTCTCCTCATTATGAGGTACACATCTCCATTACCTTTTAGCACTGGTCGAGAGGAGTTTGGAGGTCTTGTTCATGCTGGCTTTGCTTTCTCGCTTCTTCGGGGTGCTCACTTCCTGCTGCTGCTGATGCTGATGCTGATGAGTTGACGATGAAGAGGAGGAAGAGCTGCTGCTGGCACGGGAATCTTCATCCGACATACCGAGCCTGGGGAAAAGAACCAGAAACACTCAGCATTTAGAGAGGTACACATGCCAAACCACCTCTGTCCTCCAACATATTTACTCCACATCCAACCCCACGCTTCTTCACAAATCTGACATCCAACTGCAGAGACTTGCTTCAGGGTGAATAACTAGAGCAACACTTGAGATGTTAACACAGTCTTCAGGTTGCACTCCTGAATTCGGCATCCATCCAATACCCTTAATAAATTCAATAAAATGTGAAGTTACTCCCACTGTCTGTGTCTACTGCAGTGGGTTGTGGGGATTAAATTAGGTTCTGGTGTTATTGAAACGCACAGGTGTCAGGTGGTACACCTGTATTCCGAATTTAACAAGAGCACCCTAAATATTCCTCTCCGACCCTCGTCGTGTTGCATTAAGTATCAACAGCCGCCAGTAAGCGCGTGAACTCTGAAATGTAAGGTTTTTTTAAACGGAATCTTGCAGCCCAGACCTAAACATTTAGTGGTGACTATAAGACTGCAGGTGCGAATCCCACGGTGCAACCACTGACTCCATTAACGCTGCCGCGGTTTTTAACAACCAGGCAGTTTCAATCGCCACTGTACCGGATGTTATTGATCAACTTATCAGCGGAGCTGTTTTCTTCTCTCACAACGCGAGAGACCTCAGCGAATGTTTGCAGTCAGGCGTTATATATATATATATATATATATATATATATATATATATATATATAT